GCACATCATGACTAAATATGGTCATGATGACATCACATCATGACCATATATAGGTACATCGTGACTATATATTGGCATATATTATTTTTTTTTCAAAGAAAATTTGATAGTCTGGACAGGGCTTTTAGTGAGTTACAGATTTCATTTCATTTATTTTGTCTTAATAATAATTAACACACACACAAAATACAGGTTTCGTAAATAGGCAAGACAGAATTATCAAAAGCATACTGAAATATTGTCCAGTGGCTCTCAAAACCGATTGAGAAACAAACATAAAAGAAATATTAAAATTAGACTGGACTGGATTTATTCGGTGTAAATACCAAGGATAGCCCACGAAAGTTTAGAAGAAGACTTATTTCTAGTGGGGTCCTTCTGGTGCTGATTGGGTAGTACACCGGGAGACAATCCCCTACTCTTTTCCGAAGAGTGTACTGCGTCTTTAACATGCACATGGGCCATAAATGCACACGGGACCAACGGCTTAAACGTCTCATCTGAAAGAGGGTGAATATTGTAATTTGTCTTTCAGCCTTCCAGCTGAAACACAAGGAGAGGCAGCGATGGGAATTGAACCGAAGACCCAGAAATCCCCACGGTTCAGCGCACACACAATGGCTACCACCAGATAGCCGACTGAGCTAAGCTGCTTTAAGAAAATTCTTACAATTTACTCTTAAATATATTAATTTATATCAAACACATATTAATGAAAAAATATAAATAAAATCAATACAAACACTGTAGATACTTCTTCATGCATTTCCATTTCTGCATAAATCTGTGATTTTGCTTTAAAGATATGGCAACTTGTTATGATTAGACTCTTACAAGGAAAAGTACATTGAATTAAATTGAATATTTAACAACATAAATGAAACATTGAATCTTAACCTGTATTAATTGATAAAATACTAACAAACTATAATAAAATATTTTAAAAATTTGAACTTAATCAATAATAATGCATTTTGATATTACTTACAGCTTTCATTTTTGATATCAAAAAATCCAGGTTGAACATCAAGCTGAGTGTTGTCTTTACTAGAGTCCAATGGGAGGCTGTTTAGAAGATGATCTAACTGTTGTTCTTCCACCTTCTGGAAGTCTAGTATAGGTGCCTGACTGGTGATGAACCTGGAGACAATCCTGTTATCCTCTTCAGATGAAAGGTTCTTCAACATCCCTCCTGTATTCATTCTCCTTTTTTCAAAACTGTTGTTGTTTTTATTTCTTTCAATAATAACAGGGCAGTTCTCAACGGAATATCCACTGGACTCTTTGTGATCTTTGAATTCATCACAGGTGGAACTCTCTGTCCAAGTCAAGGTTACATCTGACAATGTTCTGGTACTGTTTGAAGTCTTGTGCCGCAATTGGACATCAGCACAATTATCACCATCTGCTGATATCTGCCACCCATTGGAGCATACTTCAAAATTGCCCATAACATCGCAACCTTCGACATCCACAGTTTGTGAGACAGAATTAGTTTTGCAGTTCTTTTCGTTGCTATCAATAACTAATGCCGACTGCCAACTCTTTGGTGAAAGTACATCCTCACGACTGGACGCTGTTGTTGGACTTTTTAAAGATCGATTGAAGATGCTTAACTCCTCATCTGAACTCACCTACAATGACATACAGTAGGTTTAAAGCCCTATCCACACATTACCCATTTTCAAAAACCTCCTTATAACATATCTCTTCACAAGATAAATTTAAATGCATTCTCTCTTGGGGGCCCTTGTCTTGGGCACCATCCCTAAGCACCTGTTTGCCTCTGGCACAGCAAATGTGTGCCCCGTCCCTTTACTGGAACGACCTAGGTAGGAGTTTGGGATTGCGCTATTGTGGCAGTAGATAGTGAACCCTCAGAGATTCTGTCTTTTTATCCTGTTGTGCCATTTTTATTATTTATTTTTTATGATGTGAAGTGCATAGAAGCATTTTAGTACTTCATGCGCTATACAATGTGACATTATTATCAAATTTTATTTCACAAAAACATGTGAAATGCATAAATATGGTAATGATGATATAAAATTATGACCATATATAGCCATGTAATGGCAACAACAGTTTTTACCAAATAAAATTTGATAGTCTGGACAGGGCTTTAGGATTGGATTTCTAGTGATGTGCATGTACCATTTTACTTCTTTTTCAGACCAATATCATCTCTATTATTTCCTCATATTATTTTTTTTGTTTTATTCAAGATTTTGATGCAATACACAACAAAATTAAACTTACATCAGAAAAGTCAAAGTCTAGTGAAGGCAACTTTTCTTGTACTTCTGAAAATATGTTAGTCAGTTTCATCTGCAGATTGGATGCTTTACCATCCTGCTTCGCCCCGTCCTGCTTTGCCATCATTGACAGAATGTAAAGTCACAAGCGGGTGCTACCACCTAGTACTGCTTCTTTCTACTTTGAATTACAGCTTTGCTACATTTCCTTTAGTTCCCAATGTTAGATCCATCCTGCTACTGCTGATGAAATAGTAATCAATCAAAAGTATATATTCATTAAAGTCAGGCTCCGGAGGAAAAAAATTTTTTGATATGTTGTAGAACTGATTTTTCTAAGACAGAAAAAAGTTGTTTGACGAAAAACTGGGGAACGGTGAATGAGATACAGATTTTTTAATATTTAAAAACTGGGGGAAAAAGGGGCGTAACTGCCCATTTTTACACCTTATTCCCCCAGTTTTTAAATATTAAAAAATCTGTATCTCATTAACTCTTCCTACCACCATAATGAAGGGGTTGACCCATGTAGTATTAAATCATGGGTCAGTAGATCTCAGACCTTGGTAGTCTCCACTGAGTCACAGTATGCCATCTCACTAGCAAGTGAAAATCACTGCTACCTAGGCCTAGAACCTGTCTCCCAAATTCAGACATTTTTGCCTGAGTCACTTACCATGTATAAGAAACAGAGCCTATTTATAGGACTGTGCCTTGGCCACCCACACTGAGTGAACATTTGACTAATGAATGATGATAAAATCTAACACTTATCATTTATAATAGTAAAGCCAACACTGCTCTAAAAATAATTAAGAGAACCTTCAAATGTGTTGATATTAAAGGTTTCCAAGTACTTTACAGACATACTGTATGTACGTCCACATCTAATAGAGTATTGTATTCAAGCATGGAATCCAGGATTAAAAAAGATATACAGTAGAAATTCTGGAAAAAGTTCAAAGACGACTGACCAAACTGTTTCCTTAATTACCGATGATTTGAAATACCACCAAAGACTAGCGATGCTTAAGCTATTAGTTGTTGAATAGAAGAATCTGTTGTGATCTCATTAAAGTTTTCAAATTCTTAAACAATTTTGAAAAAATGGATCCCAATCTATTTTTGAAAAACAAGAAAGTACCAAAAGTGCATCCTATTTAAAGGAAGGAAAATTTCATAATTGTACTTTGTATTTTTATGACAATACAGTAAAAGATCTGTATCTGAAGTAGTAAATTGTTTAAGAAACAACTCGTAAAGTCCCTTCGATCCAGAAAAGATTTCTTTTCACACAGAATCATTATAATATTTCGAATTCTCTTCCTGAGGATGTTGCGCTGGCTCCCTTGGTGAACTGCGTTAACGCAAGACTAGATTGATGTGGGGTTATACAAAGGCCACTGAGGCCTAATCTTTTCCCACAAGCCTACAATCAAGTATCAAGTATTATTATTATTACGCCATTGTTATTGTTTCAATGTTAGAATTCCGACACACCACTATTGCTCATTTGCAATAAACGCAGAGTGAGAACCGAAAGATCTTTGAAATTTTCCAAGCCAAAATCATCCCTTTTGTTTTGACAATCGCAGCGTTTGGTTAAAAAAAGCAAAATAAAGTAACATAATGATAATTATGCAATAATGCAATAAAACAATGTAGTTACTTTCATTATATAAAACAATGATAAAACAAAATGCCTGACCAAGCATGGTGCCTAGGCCTAAGGAGCCCTACCTACTGTAGAACATTATGAGGCCGAGGCCTAGGCCAAATTATCAGACAAGAACTGCCCTCTGCTGACAGGCTGCGCCTGGCTGTAGCCAGTGTAGGTAAAAAGAAGTGCAAATGGCGTCCCTAGATACCACTAATAAATGTCGATTACAACTACTAAATCGCTATAAAAGCATGCTAAATATCATTCCTAATGTAAAAAATTGCATATTGGTTTCTACTTTAATATCATACAAGTGAAGATAATGTATTTTGTATGTTGTTAAATGTTTATAGGCCTATGCCTACCAATTCAACTCACGCATTTCAGAATCGTCCATCATCCTACGCCATTTCAATTTCATGTGCCTTTCTCTCTTTCAACTTTCGCGTCGGTTTATAAAAATTCGCGTCAACTTATGATAATTCGCGTCATCTTGAGGTAATTCACGTCAAATTACGTCAACGCCCGGGTGGATAGGCAATGGAGCCTCGACTATAGAAACTTTAGTAACTTCTCTTTAGAGATACGAATGGGCATCAAGGAGATGAGAAGAGAAGCCCACAGATTTAGGCCCCTAGGCCTAGGCCTTAAATTGATATAAAAATGTGATGTGTATTATAAACCCATAAAAAGTAAGTTTTTCCAGTATATATTGATGCATATAACAATTATGACGGTTCACGTCCTTAAATAATTTATCAGTAATGAAGTTAAACCAAACAGGCCTAGAACTAGGAGTAGGGTAGCCTATAAGCCTCTAGGCCTAGGCCTAGGCTTAAACTGGCTTGTTTGTCAGGCACTGACCGAGGCGAATCCCGTTAGGTACTTCCTCTCGCATGAACTTATGGCTTGGGCTTAGGCCTACGGAGAGACCAGAAAAGGTCGTCAAATTGAATTGCTATGCTAGGTTCTAGTTTGAAGCCAGAATGTCCTACTAGGCTTAGGCCAGTGTATTGTATGGAGCCTGCTCATCAATATTGAAATAGGCTTTCTTTCAACCTTTGATGTACTGTTCTTTCATAATTCACCACCATTGTCTTATCAATGTATGAAGGCATGTATGGTGGAAGGAATATTGACAATGAGTATTGTAAACGTTGGGGGTCCGTGTAGACTATTTTAACATGTTTGACAAGTTTTATTGCAATAATTTGATGCTTTATTATGAATCAAACAAAAACCAAAGCAGTTTTTCTTTTAATTTTATTACTTAAAAAAATTCACATAAAGTATTGAGTTGAAATGGTTATTTTAGTTTCAGGAAAAAGAAGATCGTTGACTCTTGAGTGCGGAAGATGTCAAGTTACCCGGCAACTGGAAACATTGACTATCCGTATGAAGCTAGCGATGAAGCCAGCGAGACGGAGCTTCTAGACCGAAGTCTGTCGGTCTGGCGTGGTTATGATTCTTTACAGGATCAGTTTAACCCAATTCCTCTTGATCTCTACACAGCCTGTTCCATAGGTCACTATGAAACTGTTCATGCATTTATACAAAGGTCAGCTGCACTTGTTTTTTTAATGTATTTTTGATCTTAAACAATGCAACATTCTAATATAGGGTTGATTTCATTTTTCTCAAAGCAATACAACTTAATACAAGCAATACAAAGTAATCCATCATTACGTGTACAAGTGCAGATCACAAAAGAAATTTAGTAAAATATTGTCACACATAGAGTAATGTTGTGATAACTTTGATTACAAAATGTTTCCAATCCAAATTGACACATGGGTAGAGACTCTGTAAAATATCAACATTGTTACACAAGTAGCAATGGATCGCAGGGCAAATGTGATCACAATCATTCACAAATAACTTATTGTTTAATTCTTTAGTGGTCAAGTTGATCTTAATCAAAAGAATAAAGGAAGCTGGACACCATTAATGTATGCATCATACATATCACATGACAACATTGTGAACTTGCTATTGGATGGCGGAGTTCAAGTAGACATCAAGACTGATAAAGGTGCCACAGCGTTCATGCTTGCAGCAAGTTGTGGGAATGAGAGTGTATGCTACTTCCTGCTACAGGTCAGTAAATGATTTGAATCTAGTTTTCTGTTTACACTTACTATTAAGTTTTATGTGACTAATATGTGATTTGCTTTACACTGTATATGGGTGTGATTACATCATCATTTCATCATGCACATATATGGGCAAATCGCAGATTTTTGTCACATAAGTATAATTGGTGTGAACAGAGCTAATGATGGTAGTTGTGGTGGCGGTGGCATCGATAAATTTAGTAATTTATATTTTCCGTTTCGGCGTCTTTTGTATGCTTGTATATTGTAACTTGTAATTAGTGATTGTTTTAATGTTCCTTTTTATACATTGTTTTTTTAACTTTTTAAAATATGTATAATTCAACTACAGTCCAAAATTTCATTGATACTTGCAATAAAAGAAGTGATCGATTGCTTGCTTGTTTGATAGAAAGTAGTAGCGATGGTGCAGGGGTGGATTTACATGGGGGGGGGGTGGCATTTTGGAAGGTAAAAAAAGAAAAAAAAAAATAAGAAAGAAAGAAAGAAAGAAAGAAAGGAAAGGAAAAAACTTGATCACCCAAAATGCATTAGAGGTTATTTTTGGGCATCTATAGTAGAACACAAAAATTGTGGGTAGTTTTATCTCAATCGGCCCCACTTTCCGCCCCCCCCCCCTTTTGGACATCTCTGGATCCAACCCTGTGGTGGTAGTAGTAATGATGGTGGTGATATTAGTACCGTAGTAGTTTTCAGTGTATATGAGTTTATTAGCTTACTACACTGACTTATCCTACAACACTGACAATTGATCTATGCTGATGTTTAAATTTTACAGCAAGGAGCTAAGATAGACGAGCGTGATATGAAGGGCTGGACTGCCTTGTTCTATGCTACCAATGCCGGTCATCAAACTATGGTGCAGTTCTTGCTTGACAGTGGATCACAAGCTAACGTTGTGTGAGTTACAAAATACATTACAAGTTAATTAATATGTTAACTTTAGGCTAAGCTATAACAACATAGGCCACAAAAAATCTTGTTCAGACAGTGTTCAACACAAGTGTTCTTGAAAACAAACTGTACAGTTAACCAAACATCAAAAAGATCACATCATAAGCCTGTTTAACCACTTTACAGTATTTTGGTTTTGAAATAAAATTTTATAACCAGGTTCATTATGAAATTCAGATGTTAAAAATCACCTCTAGATATAAACAACTGATTACTTTTGTGTTAATTTTCCTATGAATTCTTAAAAACAGCTTTACAAACAAATTGCAACTAATTGGAAGGCACAATATACACCAATACACATTAATATTTAGCAATGTTCTTTAATTAATTGTAATTAATTAATTATTCTTGAAGGGACTTTCTCCTTGGAATCACACCATTGATGATGGCATCTGCAGAAGGACATGAGATTATTGTTAACAAGTTACTTGAACATGTAAGTGGAACTTTCATAGACTCACTACAAAATCGGATCTTCATGACGTAGAACAAAATGAGAAAATGTCAACAACAACATCTTGCTATACAATCTTTAACCTCTAGGAAGACAATTTTAGGTGTTACTATGTTGTATTTATTATTGACAAAAACAAATTACTTTGAACGTTAACCTTTTCAGGGTGTAGATATTGAGTATAAGAATTCCAAAGGTGACACAGCTAGATCACTGGCAATCGTCAATGGTCACATGAAGATTGTCAGTCTGATTGATAATCGCACGATGGCGTCAGTTTCCCTGAGGTCAGAGCCAGGTGAGTCCATTCTAGAATTCTACATCACTGCATCAACAAGCAGTTGTCACAGCTAAGTGCTTCCACAGCTAATTCACAGCTTTTTATAAAATTTCTTATTGCACTTTTTAGTTTTTTTCATCTTTTCTTCATTAAGCACCAAACATTTCACATTCCATGTCAATTCAGAAATTGACCCAGCTCTAATTAAACAGTTATTACTTAGGGGAAAAATCCCCCAGCATTAAAGTAATTAAGACAAATTTAATTTGAAGTTATCTAAAAACAGTACTGAATATTCATTCAAGTTTTCACAAAATCAAACAACAAAACAAAACAAGAAGGTAGGAGTATCAATTGAACATTCGAAAGGATTGAATATACCATTATATCATGTATTTGTCAGGCAAGCAATATAATATGACAATCCCATCACTGTTGAGAATAATAAAAATATGAGAGGTCATATAGTCCCTTGTGATTCTACTGTTGCAGGACTTGGCTCAGATGCTGACCTCAGCTCATCGGATGAGAACTATCAACGACCCAACAGACATCATGGACGTACTCCCAAATTAAAGAGTAAAGGACCAAGTATACGAGATGGCCCAGAAGCTGTGGCTAAGATGCTCCTGGAAAGCAGGCAGACAGACTGTGTGAGAACAACAAGCAAAAGTATGACAAACATTTATGTATTTATCAACAAATATCTGCTTAATAGTGCATACAAAACTCGTAGCCTATATGTACAGTACTATACAGTAAATAAAATTTAGGGATAAAGTTGAAATTTGAATAGTAGATTTTTAGCCCACTCTTTGAGAGAGAGGGCTTATATGATGATTTTGAGCGAATTTTGAAGTCATTTGTTTTTCTGTCTCTTCCTTCGTTTGTGACGCGATTAGGCCGATCTTGCAATAATATGGAAGATAAGGCGTGGGGAATTTAAAGTATGCAGAGTTTTTGCGAAAATGTTGTAAGGAAATATGTGAAATTATATGTTTTTATATCATATCTCTTAACACTAAGATGGGTTTCCTATAAAAGCGTGTTCGCCATTGATCAGATTGCAAATCAGCTGTATATTCCACATGTGTTTATCAACCAATCACGGCCTGGAATGGTAAGCTTTGCGGCTAATAAATGAGTCTAGTTGGTAGTGAAAAATGAGCCATTTTGTGGTGCTTGCAAGGGTGAGTGGTTTCTCCTCTGAGAGATAAACAATGTACTGTAATGCAGGCTGGCCTAGAGCTAGAGGAAGACGAACTAAAGGCTGGCTGGGTAGTATGTGTGTGTAATAGATCAGTTAACAGGAAATGTAGGCTACAAGTTGCTTTTATGTGTATTAAACCACATTAATATTCAAATGAGTTAGTAGCGATGAGTGTATGTGTGCAGCACATTTTGTGTTAATGTACTGTAATGCAGCCTGACGAAGATGAATAGGCTGGCTGGGTACGTACGTGTGTGTAGGCCTAGCCCTACAGTAGTCTAGATCAGATACTACAGGAAATAAATGTAGGCTACAAGTTGCTTTTATGTGTATTAAACCACACATTCAAATCAGTCAGTAGCGATGAGGCTATGTACAGCACGTTTTGTGTTGCCGCACTGTGGTGTGGTTGATGACGAGGACGTTGCTGTTAGATGTGGATTTTTTTTTTTCGCGATTTACCATGGGATGGCTACTGTCATCGTTACCTAGACTTGTAGACGCCGTTGTCGTCCATATGGTAATGATGAAGATCGTTCGTGTACCTATTGACTGATGAAGCATGATTAAAAGTGCCTTTCATTTTCAATGGATTACATTCCATTCCAACCATGGTATAACCAGTCGATGGATAGCCCAGTATTTATCTCTTATACACATCTAGATGTGTATAAGAGACAGACAGTGGATCACGACAAATGAAAACAGGACACAGCCAGAGGAACTGGTGCGTCTAACAGTAGAAACGTGTTTACAGTTAAAATAAAATACAGTAGAAAATTTAAATATAATATAAAATTATCAAACTTAAATTTTTTATAAATTAATTCGTAAACAATATTTCCTAATATAACAACCAAACACACCTTCAGGGTCAAATGTTACTTGTCGGTCGGTGTCCCCTGCATGCTTGAAGCAGGGTTGGCTACCATGGATTTCTATTCCACTCTACACCTGTCTCTTATACCCATCTAGATGTGTATAAGAGACAGGTGTATTACAGGAACAGTCACCCTCACACAGCAGGTTTCCTTGTGTGTAGACAATTGCTCAAACAATGACCTTTAAACTGCGGGGTGTTCTTTTGTAGCGACAGTTACTGGAAGAGCAAATTTCTAACCCTAATTCATGCACAAACTATTAATGCTGAGTGCCTTCAAATGTACTTTTCATTTTCTTTACTTTTTTTCGGATTTATAAATCATGTGGTATTTGTTATCAATCACTGTTTTATTATATTTTTAAAAAATGTTTTGTTTTTTATTATTATTATGTTAATATCAAAACTATGGACCAATGCTGTAGGTTAAGCGACCAGATAAACAATGTAGAGTGTGAAGTAAGATCCCCCGTTACTTGGACTATTACTATCAATGATGTTATCATATCATAGGATAGGATTGTACATAAG